CCTCTGTCAACCGTTATATGTGAGTGCATATAATATAATGATATTTTGGAATACTATTTTATACTATTTTAGTATTTATATAGAATATGAATGCGTAATAGTTTCAATATTTCAACTACACAATATTTCAATATTTGTATACAAAACTGTCCTCGCATGTTCAACGCCCGCTATTGGTGTAGTGAGATAAACGTTCGTTTTGTTTGTTTGTTTGTTACTACAGTCGCTTTAGCAACCAACTGATCGACTCATAATAGTATAATGCATGGAGCTATTATATAATTACTACCACTTGACATGTAAATTTCACCTTTTCAGCAACAACCCCGTGTAGCTCGAACCCTTGCCAAAATGGCGGAACGTGCAGCGTTTTCAGTACATTATTCCTGTGCTCGTGTGTTACCCCATACGTTGGGGAATACTGCGAAATCATGGGTGAGTTAAAACTTCTTTTTGCATGGGGTTCAGAATTGGAAAGGTACAATGCGTCTTACTGAGTGTTAAAGATGTTGCAGAACGAAATAATAGACTTAAAATTGTACAGAATTACGAATAATTTCATTAGAGACGTGGCCTTTACTCCTGAACATTGTGTTAGCTAAATCGTTCGCCATCTTCTTTATGTGGAACCCGTATGTTCGCGTCGGCAGTTATGTATTTATTACACATTAGCTGATTATTGTGGTCATTGGCTTTTTGCCCTAGCACGTTTCGAGTTTTTGTCGACATTTAATTGTTTTCGATGTATTTTTGTTTCATTCTCAGCCTCGAACGTCTGCTACCCCAATCCTTGTCAAAATGGCGGTACATGCTCAATCAGCGGATCGTCAACGTATTTGTGTTCTTGCTCCTCTTCGTACACGGGAAATAACTGTCAAACCTATTTAGGTGAGAACGTCAACCTTTCTCATGTCGCGTTCTCTAGCGACGCAACCTAGCTTTGACGCCAAAATGATGTAGCTGGGTATGTTTGGATGTGTAGTCGAGCAAATCTTTAAAAAATGTATATTATTGACGAACGACCGCAAAACAAAATGGACGCTGTGAACGGCGTCGGGTGCACCCATTGCGTCACAGAAGAGCTTCGTCACTAGAGGGCGAAATAATGGTATATTGATAGATTGATTTCAGTCACAGACTTGTAATACGTCAAAGCGCGGTAGTCGTCGCGCTGCGCATGTTCGACATTTGTGTTGATAAACATTGATTTTCCCTCAATCCAATGCGCTGTTCAAATGGAAATCACAAGTATGAGGTTTGACCTGGGCGGGACTTGCACTGATTACTGCTGTTGACTCCTTCGATACCTTCCAATTACATGCAAATTACCTAATT